TTATTCCATACATCACAAAATAGAGACTGATATACCTGTTTATATATTATTGTCTAGCTGGAGATATGAAGTTCTTAGAGAACTTTATATTCCTTGCTAATGCATATATACTTGTATGGGGACATCTGCAAGACGGATATTCTAAATTGAAATACGGTTATAGATTGGACAGGAAAATGATCAACTCCTTTATCGAGTATAGTATACTAGACTGTGTAGAAGAATGTTTAAGAACCACGCGCTGTAAATCTCTAAGTTATTACAAAGGAGCCAATTACTGCGAAATTAATTATGAGAATAGAAGAACAACCCCGGAAAGGTACACAGAGGACGAGAGATGGATCTACAGCGAGAGAGAAGATTGGGACAAGGTAAATAAGATTTATCAATTATGAAAATTTAACAGTCCCTTCAAAAATTTTTCATTAATAATGAAACGTCAACATTTGCCAATAGAGGGCTGCAACTTTAGAATTGTTCCGCAAAATAAGGGGTTTATAGAGTGGCAAAAGATCTTTTTCATATTAAATATATTACCTGCTGCGACGGACTCTTGTTAAGTCTTCGATTTATACGGTTTTATCCGGGAGACCAGGTTTTGAGTCATAAAGCATTCAATTGGATTCTGCGACGTGAAAATCAAGCCTTTAAGAGAAAACGCATTAACCAATGGATCATGCGGGCCACTCTGTAAATTTTTACGTCGCGGATTTTCATCTTACTGTGCAACATGGATACCTGTCCTTCGAATGAGACCGTAGAAACCGATGTCCCGTGTTGCAGTATAGGTACTGGCACGAAGAAAATCCCTCAAAGCTCAATTCCTTTGAGTACCTAGTATAAGACAAAATTTGCAGCTCTGCACCGGCAAGTGATGGTGTCTCCACCCGAGTACACAATTCTTGAGAGGGACATTAAAATATATACAATCAATCTGTAAAATTTCAAAATGTAAATTAAATTCTGTACAGATTATGAGCAAATTTGACTTTGAATTTTATTGCCTAGTAACTGTCATCTTTTAAATATGTGAAAGAATCAATGATAACTTGCACGTCTTGACCTGATCTTTCGCCTGTTTTCTATTTTTGTTCGTATCTTTAAGATTCATTAGACGAGGGTTGATTTAAAATGATAATGTCAAATTTGCAGAGATATCTTTGATAATTGATTGTTTTCATCAAAATTATATAAGAACAAGATGTGTTTGTGAAACACTATGCGCCTGGCGGAAACAAAGTTCGAAAAAGCATCTTAAGCATATAGGTCACGGTCAAGGTCACAAGGTCATTGATCTTGGTGTCATTTGAAAGAACTTTATTAGTGGAGTATGTATGCGTACTAAATATGAATTCCCTACCTCCTATGGTTCAAAAGTTATGGCAAAAAGTCGAAGCTATTTTTAGCATATAGGTCACAGTCAAGGTCACAAGGTCATTGACCTTGATGTCATTTGAAAAAAAAAAACATTATTAGTGGAGTATGCATACCAAATATGAAGTCTCTATCTCTTATGGTTCAAAAGTTATGGCGAAGGTTAAAGTTGACAACAGACAGACAGACAGACAGACAGGTAAACTGATAAACAGTCAAACAGACAAACAGACAGAACAAAAACAATATACGCCCTGGATCAATCGATCCGGGCGCTATATTCGAATATTAGTAATACTTAATAATAAATTATTTATCAGACATGCAGGTACTCTTATGACATGAAAAGTCTTGCAAAGGTCGATTTAATATTTTGTACATCTGATAAATATATGATGTTTTAATCCAGAAGGATGTAAGATGAACACAATTTTCTGTCTGAGATGGAACTTTATAAAGTCATTTAATCATATGTTTTGTTTTGATTAAATAAAAACACAAACAACATTTGGCTAATTGTATTTGGCGCGTCGGCGCGCTCGCGCAACAGATTTTGTTTATAAAATTTATCGCTTATATATCATCGGGCTCGATATCCTCTATGTATCAAAGTAATGAAAGTACTGATAGGTTGTTGATTTTTAATGACTGTTTCAATAAAATTTAATGTTTCACACTTTGTTAACAACTTTTTCAAGTTATGTTCATTTACGTATGCTCCATAAGGAAGTTTGTTAGAATTAAATAAAAAAGAAAATGACACGATTATACAGAGTCAAAAAGGTAAGGTTTGTTTTGATCTCAAGATAACCTTAGAATGATATGCCAAAAAGTGTAGGACTTTTTCTCTGTTCAATTGTCTCAATAAATTAATAAGGTATTTTTCTGACCAAAAGTTTGTTTAAAAGGGCTAGCAAAGTCATTTCTGTAACTAAAGTTTCTCCCCATCCTCAGACCTCTAACAAAGACGTATAGTACAAGTTAATTCTTAGTAGTACTATTATTCCAAAACGTAACAAGAAATATTTTTTAAACAATGATTTCCAAGGTCTAAGTTAAAGCCATGAAAAACAAGTCTTTAAAAAGGAGTTTAAACTCTAGAGTCTAGAGTCATAACGTAATACTGGTAAATCTTTATTTGATACATTGGCGTTGGAAGCAAATAAAAAAAAAAGGGGGGGGTAAGTGAAAGATAAAATTATCGAAAAACCAATTTTAAAAATCATTTTCAAAAAAAAATGAAAAAAAAACTGAAAACCATAAAAAAATGTTTCCATTGTCCAAACACGAAAATCCTATGTCTATCTGTGTAAGCCCCCTCCCCGGTTCCCATAAAATAAATTTATAAAAACCAAAGCACTCATTATTTTTAAATGCTATTGTTATAGTTTGGAGGTATAGAGAGAGAGAGAGAGAGAGAGAGAGAGAGAGAGAGAGAGAGAGAGAGAGAGAGAGAGAGAGAGAGAGAGAGAGAGAGAGAATCGAAAGTAGGCCAATTCCAAAATTTGGGTAAATTTTCGGATTACCCTTGCAAAAATTGTGGTAAGACATGCATGGGTCAAAGGGGATCCGGATCCCTGGAAAATTCAAATTTAATTAAACCGACATAGTAAAATTACTAAAGCTTTGCCTCGAACCTCTTTCCCTATGAAAGAGCCACCACCTCCTAAGGAGATTTTTCTGGATTAACCTAACAAATAAATACAATCGGGCTCGGGCTGTCGACTTGAATATAAGAGATAACGCTTAAATAATAAAGAAAATCGCTGTCATTTGAGTGTTTTAATGCATTGAGAAAATACTGTCATATTGGGATGAGAGGGACGCGCTGGCGCGTCGAAGCGCCGAATACAATTAGCCCAACATTTTGAGGAAATAAATAAATATATATATATAAATAATAAATATATAATTGCTCTTCATGTTATAAAAATCACTGATAAAAAAAATAAATATCTTAAAATTGTCATCACCACATTTAATTATTTTCTACACAGAATAAATCACAGGAGCATGTATGAATGCGAATTGCCTTGATAACCAGAAATGTAAGCCATTACCATTTGGGAAATCTGAATGCATTTTATCAGGTAAATAACATGGATATGTTTACTATTTTCATTTCTATTTTTTTTCTCTGTGGTTTCTTTTTGACGGAAAGTACAGTTGATGTCTAGATAATTCTACCGAAATGTAAATGTCGCCAAGAAATACATGTAGGTCAGGAGCTAAAGAGATCTAATATGCATAAGATTTAATACTTTTGATTTTTTATTTGGTGCTAAGGAGGCTTGAAAAACAGTAAAATAGCAATGTTTTTATACGACAAGTAAGTGGACGGGGGCCTCAAAAAATAGTCCTGGCCTTAGGGAACTGGAACCTTGCTAACTCCCTGATATACTTTTTAACTGTTTTATTATACCGATACAAAAGTTTTTAAAAATGAGGATTACGAATGACGGGGATCTAGCTTCCGGACTAACGCACGCGCATTAGTCCATTAACATATTAGATCGATACAATAGTAAAATCCAGAGGATAACGGATAACCGGGGAATAAGCTTCCGAAGCAGGGATTAGCTCATTTTACTAACGTACAGTGTACGGGGATTAGTGTATTAACAGAGGTTTCTAGGAAATTACTTTTATACAGGAAAAATCTAAGTAGAGGTATAATAATGTTTGATTGATTGTAAATTGTTTAACGTCCCTCTCGAGAATTTTTCACTCATATGGAGACGTCACCGTATGCCGGTGAAAAGCTTCAAATTTTGACCTTTACTCGACACTCAAATTTTGACCTTTACTCGACACTCAGGGCCATTGAGCAGTGAGGGATCTTATCGTGCCAACGGAATCTTGGTCGAGCTTTGGAAAAAAAACCATATCGGTGATACTGTGAAGTATGTTAGAAGTTACATCATTTAAAGTAATAAAACGAAACGAACAAAAACTTCTTTTATTTTCCACACACATACAACTTATGTTCTCATATTATTTACCATTACTTTAAACAAGCATTTCAACCTTTAAAAACTGAGAGGGATTAAAATGTGTAATTTATACAGATTTTTTAAAATAATTAATTTCACACAGTTAAAATAACTAGATGTGTGCAAGGCGTTTTCATATGTAGCACGAAAAATTCAATTTTAATTTAATTTTATGCTCACTGAATAACCATAAAAATTTAATTTTATCAATTAACATATCTTTTAGAGAAATTAATTTAATGTATAAAAAATAAAAAAACTCATTTTCTCTGAAATACATCTAGAGAAAAATCAAGGAAGACCCACTTTCTTGAAGAAACATCAATGAATTAGATTACATCAAAAAATGGAATTAAAATTAAATGCACTAATGTAGAAAAAATATTTTCAAAATCTTTGGTATCAAAGTTCCGTTTTAAAGAAATATGTCAAGTTACGGGACTCAAAAACTTTGGCAAGTCTCGCAATAGTTAGTTACTCATTATTGGCTACTGAACCAGAAATACAAACGCACACTATTGTATTTATATTTATTTACACAGTGAGACATGTATTATTGACAAGCACAAATAAGTGTTTAAAAATATCAACTTTCAACACATTTCTGTTAGATCATATGTCAGTGGGTTGATTCTAATAGCCTGAAAGCATACATAAACTAAAAGTTCTCGTCATACCGGCACTCGTTGTTTACGAATTATTATGTAACATTAAGGGGGATGTACAAGCCAATTGGATCTAGACTGGTGTGAAATAAGAAATGCCAAGAATGCGCTTAATACTCGTCTAAACTAGACCAAAGTTACTCAAAGTGTTAATGCACTAGTTACCTACTGTTAGAAACCAAAATTAGTAAATTATTAAGTTTATTTTGTCTTAATTAGGAGGAAATTAATCATGGTAGAACTGCGCAGCTACAGCATTTCCGAGATGAAAAAAAAAAAACGCTTTTGAAAAAGTGTTAGTTTGATTCATTGATAATATGGCTACAACCATTTGTTTCGCTTTTTTCTTGTCATTATCTAAAATTCTTGAAAATTTGATTTTTCATATGTTCTTCCTGAGGCCATGTGTTTATTTCGTCCGCCATTTTGTACCCAGAGTTCGAATAACATTGATTTTACAATTAATGCGACCATAATAACATCAAGACAAGAAATTACTAAGTTATAATCATTAGGTAATATTACTTACTACTTTTATTTGTTGCATCGCTTCGTCTGATTAATGAAAAACCGCGATTTTTATTCAACCCCACTTCAGCAAATCGGGAAAAACTAATTCTATAGGTACTGATATAATTTTAATTCTGCGTGGTGTTTAAAATTATATTAAATCAGAATGACGTTAATAGATCAATGTGAAATTTTTTATAAGTTCCAGTTTTATTTTGGGAAAATATCTAAGTATTTGATTTAGGGCAGCTATTATGACTTTTATCTATTGGAATGCTATTAAAATCTTATTTTTGGAAACATTATCATAATGGCATATCATTTTTTTCTTAAAGACTCAAAACTGGTCATTTTTTGCATTGAAATGTTGTCTTTGTTATTTAAAAAAAATTCTACAATAAATCAAAACAATTCATATTAATTTTACAATGTATATTCATAGACTTACCATTGATGGCATCTCTTTGTCCATGGTAAGCTGCCTCAAACAAATGGTCAGCTGTTTTCTCAAACTGAAAAATTGATCTTCATATACTGATGTTTTATGTATATGTAATCTTTAATTAAAAAGTAGTTTCTGAAGCAAAGAGGATAACAGTATGAGAAATAATCATTTTGCTGTAATATGCATATTATTCCATGATATATATACATACAATAGCATAAAAAGAATTGTGGTAAATCATAAACTTTTTTTTGATTTTCATGGAGTAATTACTTTGTCTTAAATGCTGGTTGATTATGACAGTGTAATTTCATCACACCTTTTTAAGCAAAGATGAAAAAAATGTGATATACTCACTGAAGCCAACATGAGAACACTTTCCTTCATTTTTGCCAATCCAAAGCGAGTGATGCCAAGAACTTCACCCTGTTCACAAAATTCAAATGTATGTATCTATTGTTACAATTGTTACATAAATAGTAAGCTGAGCAATAACATTGCCCCTTATTATTATTAACTTTAGATGTCAGATGAAGGAGATATCATATGTCTTTCACCTCATGTAGAATTCTCATTTGAGCACTAGTTCATGCATAGTGTGTATTCTTCCAATTCAAATTCACATTTTACTTTGCTTAGTATAGGTATTTTAATCATTTTTTTATTTTTACCTTGAATGTCATCAAATCTGCAAGTAACATGACGTGACGGATGTCGATACTCATTCCGTGACTAGACATTGTATAGTTGACTTCATTCATAATTGTTGTACGTGCTGCCTCAATACCCAATGTCTTCTCCATGGCAAAGGTATTATTTGAAGAGGCATGTGTCCCCTTAATTCCTAAAACATTTAACAAAACTAATGTTATTTCCCATTCTAATATATACGAGTTAATTAATCTTGTATGATGTAAATTCAAAATACCTGGTGTTGCCATGACAGCTCGTAAATTGTCTCCCTCTACTAGGAGTTTATAGGTGTCTCCCTTTTTCTCATCAATATGTATCACTGCTCTTGTCACGTTCTGAATTCCCTGTTATTTAAAGAAAATTTCCATATCTAATTCATCTGTTTCTTGAAAGTCTTCTGTACATCTTTTATGCTAGTATCTGTTCATTGAAATATCTTTCTAGATAGTGAGCCAAATATTAAAGTCAAAAATATGTAGTACATGTAGTATATGCTTCCATGTACCTTGATCATGACAGAGGGCAGTTCTTTCTTTAACATCTGAAGTATGTAGTACAGTGAACTCTTAGATGTTTCTCTTGGCCTCACACTGATTATAGCTGAGCTATGAATTTGTACATCCTGCAAAAACAGACGTTTGTAGTATGCTGTTGCTTTTTTTATCATGTACTAGTAAACTGTTTACTCAAAAGATTTTTAAAGAATGCATCAACTCTATAGATTTTGACCCAACCCTTCAGGCCCAACGGGACTACAGAAAAGAAACGGATAATGTTCTCAATTCTTACCTGAGGCTTGACCCTCAGTTTACTTGTACATATGGATTCTTTAATGCTCTCAACATTCACCTCCAACTAGATAAATGGAACACAAAAAGTATAGGTTAAAGGAATCATTGTAAAGAACATTTTTGTAATTTTTAAAGAGTGTGGAGTGGGTCTTTGTACCTTGAGCAGTCTTATCCTATCCAAATCTAGCTTCACAAGAATAAAGCAGTCATCTGGTATGAAAACCTCCTCTATGTATTCTGACACCTGTTCAAATAAACATAAATAGTAAAACACATTTACATATATTATGATCATTGTAATTTTTCATCTATATTATTTTTACGACTGTAGAGCAAAAATAATACATATACAATGGATTACCTCCCCTAGAGTGGTTTTCTCGATCCTCCCTTTGACCACTCTAGCAAACTCTGGGTCATTATTCACCATAAGTTCTGCTGTTATGATGGGGGTACTTATGTTCTTTGAGGCATTGATAATTTCTTTGATTCTTGGTACTCCCTGGGTGATGTCTAGCGTGATTTTAAGGAATAAAATATGTTTATGTATCTGCACACTATTACAATATACAGTCAATTCTCGAATTATCGCCATTCGATTCATCGCCATTTTCGCAATACCGCCATCATTTCCCAAGAACGTTTTTCCTGCTATACAAAATTCTCTTTATAACGCCAAAATCGCATACCGCCATCCGCCATCCTGTTTTCACAACAAACGTCCATTTTTAAGTGTCAATTATCTCGATATACCGCCACAGGTGCATGTGGTCAGTGAAGCGCGGCTAATTGGTTGACGCTATCCGTGTCGTTAAGCATGCAAAGCCAGACAAGGTATATGCAATTATAAAATTAAATAAGAATTAAATATTAAACAATTATTTTAACATGAACTGTTATAATAATTTGTTTCCCATTTAATAAAAATCATTTAGTCACGGCTTCGCCACGAAAGCGATTGTTGTTAAAGTTAGCCAATAACGATATTATTTTTTATGATCTCTGCTTAAAACAATGCAAAGTTTGCTTTAAAAATAATGATATGGTAGAAATTGTGAACGTTTCATTAACAATGATGCCACAAACAATGAATTTATTCAAGAATTCATTTTACGTACTATCGGCAATATATCAAGACGATCGAACCAGCAAGTTTTTTTTTTTCAATATCAGAGGTGCAGATTTACATGCATACACATGTACTTGTCTTTATTTCATAACTGCACATTTTGTTTTCGCGAAATTGTACATAAAAACAAGAGGCCCACGGCCCTTATAGGTCACCTGAGTATCTTTTAAATAAGAATAAATGCATTTTCACCATATAATCAATAGAGCCCCGCCCTAACACCAGAACCCTGACCCTGGGGCCATAAAATTCACAATTTTAGAAGAGGCACTCTTGCTCATCATAACTATGTACTTAGTTAGTTTATTCAATACCCAGAAGCAGAGAAGAAGATTTTCAAAAAATAATGCATTTTCACTATATAATCCATAGAGCCCCGCCCTAATACCAGAACCCCTGACCCTGGGGCCATAAATATCACAATTTTGAAAGAGGCACTCTTGCTCATCATAACTATGTGCTTAGTTAGTTTATTTGATACCCTGAAGCAGAGAAGAAGATTTTCAAAGAATAAATGCATTTTCACTATATAATCAATAGAGCCCCGCCCTAACACCAGAACCCCTAACCCTGGGGCCATAAAATTCACAATTTTGGAAGAGGCACTCTTGCTCAACATAAGTATGTGTTTAGTTAGTTTACTTAATACCCAAGAGCAGAGAAGAAGATTTTCAAAGAAATAATGTATTTTCACTATATAATCTATATAGCCCCGCCCTAGCACAAGAACCCCTTATCCTGGGGCCATGAATTTCACAATTTTGATAGAGGACTCAATGCTCATTACATTCATGCCAACAGTTTGCCTGCTTGATGTCCAGGAGTAAAGAAGAAGATTTTTGAAGATTGCACTAATTTTAGTGGTTTTGGCCCCACCCCTCAGGCCCCAGGGGGGCAGGGAACATGAAATTCACAATTTTTGTTCCCCATCACTCGTAGATGCTATGTGCCAAAATTGGTTGAAATTGGTTGAGTGGTTGCAGAGAAGAAGCTGAAAATGTTCAAATGTTAACGCACGGCGCACGACGACGGACAACAACAGATAGCAATAGGTCACCTGAGTTTACTCAGGTGACCTAATTACTAGAAGTATTTTCAAATTTATAAATATGTTTTTGTATACATGTACATGTAATAATAAGAATAGAAACACTTAATGGTATTTCTAAGAACGATAACTCTACTTTTTCTTTCCTAAAAGATGGGAAATTCAATTCATCGCCAAATTCGTTATACCGCCATGATTTCTAAATTACAAAAGGTGGCGGTTTATTGAGAATTAACTGTACATGAATTAAGAGCACTTTCCATAAACATGTACCAGGTACAGTACATATGTACATGTATCGTTAAACTACTGATATTTATGGCAAACAAAAGGATACTCATGGAAGCCACCCCAGCAAAATGGAAAGTTTTCAGAGTCATCTGAGTTCCTGGCTCTCCTATACTCTGTGCACAGACAGCACCCACTGCTGTTCCTAGGTAATAAAAGAAACAATGATTTTTCTATCTCTGCTATCTCTGTTTTAAAAAGACACAATAAATAGTACTAAATTTTGGTTGCAGAAGCATACTTGGATGTAGAGAAATTCACCAGTGACTACTTTAATTCAAAAAAGTTATCCATAACATAATACTTTCATGCAATAGACAGTGGGAGGGAAAATATAAGCATGGTATTACAATATTTGCTGATTTTTGCTAAAACAACAATTGCAGAAAATGTTGTTGTTGATTTTCCTTTTTTCAATTCAAAATGTCAGATACATGTAATTCATTTTTATTACCTGGTTCTATTTGACACAATGCCAAATCCATTCTTATTACTGAAACTTGGTTCTTTCTGAAATTATCCCATTCCTTGTTCTATTTTATTTCAGATAATCCCATACCTACTCTTTTCCTGAGATAATCCCTAATCCATTTATATTACCTGGTTCTATCTGTGCCTTCATGAATTTATCCCTGCACACATTCAGGAAATGTTTCACTTGAGATGGTGTCACTCTGTTCAGCTCAAACAAAACTGTAAAGATTGAAACTGGCTTTTAATTTTATGTGATATTACTTGACATCATATTTTATAGTTTAGTCTAGAGAGAAATCATGCTTCCAATTACTTAACCTACCTGGAGGTAATTTATCTTGCTGTGCATCAACTATTCCAAACCTTTCTCTTGTCAAGTCAATGTCTGAACCCACTGTTTCTATGAATTTTCTGCAAAAAGATCAAGTAAGGGTTATCTTTAATGAATACATTTATAATAATATAACAGTAACTTGAACCAAAGGGTCGTACCACATCAAGTTGACAGACGCAGATCAACAGATCAAACAAGATGTGAAACATGAGAAATACTTTTAAATGAAAGAATATACTTACATCATATCATCTTTAAAATCCTCACTGCAGCTTTTGTATATGTCTTCTTGCAACATGGTGTTGACCAGTGTTTGTAGCTCAGTCCCAGACAGAGAAGGTTCATCTCGGAAACTGCTCCTGGTGTTAGCCTATAAAGAAAATTAAGGTAATCATGGAAGTTAAAATATGTTAAGTTAGCATTCAGGTACATACATGTAGTAACAACATTCAAAGAATAGTGTGGAAGTGTATATTTAGCTGGTTGTCCTAGAGAACAGGTTTAAATTGTGCTATTTGTAAAAAAGCTTAACAGATTTGAGTATTTTGAGTAAATTAGCCTCTATATTTTATTTAAATTATTTTCTGTCCATGCCTATGACAGAATTTACTTTAAATATTCACTCAAAATACAATACAATATAATTATGCAAAATATTTTTTTAAAATTTTTGAAATGAAAATTGAGTAACTTTATCTGAGCCAGAGAGAATCTTTTTACAGTACATATATATACTAGTAAGTTAAGAAATTGTAAACAATCATACCTTGACGTGATCATAGACTTTCTTGAAGTCAATTGGTTGGTCCTTGCCCTCCATGGAGGCCGGGTCTAGACTGTCTCCACCATACACGAACTGTACAATGTCATTGGTGGAGCTTCTGACTGTCAGGTCATAGTGAGAACAAAGATCCTCCAAAGACTGCATAGAAAAATTAAAATATCTATGTTTAGATATGATGTATAACATTTAAATCTTCATTAAAGTGTCTCGATATTTTTCCAAATTTCATTGAAAGCATGCTTCAACATCTTTTTTTAATAAATAAAAGCACTTAAATTGAATTTGGTATATATAATAAATACAAACACTACCTTTCTTTTCAGTGTATATGTATACAGTAAAACTCGGTTACTGGGTCACTTGGACCTATGAAATTACTTTCCTATATCGGTAATTCCTCAAATTCCTATAAGGATTTCATTGAATTTGTATCCTTATAAGAATTTGTATCCCTATATGGATTTCATTGAATTTGTATAGCTGGGGATCCAAGATAACTTCGCTATATCTGTGAATTTGCAATATCCCTATTCAAAGTAAAAGAGTTTTACTGTATACCAGTACATATTGTGAATTTGCTCAATCATTACATTTGAAGGTGACTGTAATATAGCAGAATTTAATTTTTTTTTTATTTGTAGAACTGTTTTACTTTGACAAGTCGCCGCTGCATGTATCCTGTTTCTGCGGTTTTGACTGCAGTGTCCACCAGCCCCTCTCTGCCGGCCATCGTGTGGAAAAAGAACTCTGTGGGGGTCAGTCCGCTGTAAAAACTGTTCTCCACAAATCCTCGAGCTGCAGGGTCCTTGGCTGAATTCAAAGATAGATATCTTTTTCTTAAAATTTACATGACATTAAATGATGTACTAGGCTTCCAAGAACTGGGAGTTTACAAAAAATGAAGTTCTTTGTTTATTTGTGCACTAACAGATTCCACAATCCCTCAAGCTACAGGATTCGACTATATTCTTACAAAGATATCTTTTTAACATTAAATTTTACATGTATCATGACATCTAATCATCTACTCATGAGAGGCATTCTGAAATGAGACTATAAAGAAGTATCTGAAAAGTAGCCAAATACATCTATTTCCCACTTACAGAATTTTTCAAAATGAGGCAGAGCCCTGTCCTCGAATCCATTGGGTGTTCTCTTTCCACTAATAGCCTGCTGTCCTACGCAAGCAATCATCTGAGAAATGTTGATGAAGGAACCTAATGAAGAAAACAAATCATAAAGCTATTCTCAAGATAGGCCATTATGTCTAATGGTAAACCTAAACACAAACAATACATGTAATAACATGAAACAATACATCAGCATAGTTTTTTAGAATATCATTGGCTTTACTTTGAGAACTTAATTTTGAATTATAGTATAAGGAAACATATTCCATCTTGTTCATTTTCCTTCTGGTAGACCCTTACCTTTAGATCCACAGATGGCCATGTTTAGGGGACTGTTACTTTTGTGTAATTCTCTAAGACAGGCTTTTCCAGCATGGTCTCTGATAACAGACAGTTCTCTCAGAATCATAGCCTACAAAACATATATGTAGTCCATATAATACCTTACTATCAGTACAATGCTACCCTCAAATTGTAGACATCATGTACAATGTAGCACTTCAAAAAGAGAAACTAATTCCAAAATCACCATACATATCTGTACTAAAGACAATCTAGCTATTCTTATTTACTACCAATTAAGCCTTATAGCCACACATACCTCTAATGTTTCTTCTTCAGTACAGCCTGGCTGAGTCTGAAGTTTTCCCTCGTCTAGATCTCTGATGAACCCGTCACACTTTCTGTACCTATCACAGAAATCAATAAACCTTTATGTTACTACTGTTATGTTTTATCAAGATTAATACATATACTTTATATTTTGACTTTAACATGTATTTTATTTAATGTTTTGTACCCGTCTTCCAGAAGATTATTCTTAGCTTTGATCAATCCGGCCCCAGGAGTTACATCCCCTATTCCAATGGAGAAGCCTCTATGACCTATAGAAAACATCAATAAATATAATGTATAAATCTGGTGATAACTTTACATTTAACAAACGTCAATTTGACAAAAAAATTGCATTTTAATAACATGAATCTACAATACTACATGTATTTTTCATAAATAATGTTTATTCTTCCTTCATGTATGTTGATCTTTCTGTATATTTGAAAATATTTCCATGTTGCAATAAACTGCATATTAACCAATACCGTGTATTTGCATAATATTGTATTTGTATAAATTGAAGATATGCCATCATTCAAACCAATTTTCAATGTATTCAAATATAGCTTGGAAAACCCTATACTTACTAAGATAAGCAGGACAAAGTCTGGCCAGTCTGGAGAGAGCATCTGCTGCCTCCTGCTCCCCAAAGTCCCTCAGGATCACATAGAAAATGTTACTCTTAGATCCACCACCAAGAGTGCCTTTGTCCATAGAACCACACAACAGCTCACTGTTCCTAATCACCACAACTAAAACAAAAATTTATTTTCAAAATCTTAATAATTATATCTAATATTAATGTGAAATGTATAGACACCCAAAATATACATGTACATGTATTCATGCAGTTGTCTATTTCTTAACTTTCAAATTTTAATGCATGAGCAGTAGTTTAATGTTTGTATTGGAAGCTCAGTCAAAAATCATCATGCACTACATTGTTCATAAAAGGACTCAACTCACAAGAATCATTCACACACAGATCTTCCCCTTTGGAGTAGTTCTTTCCCTTTGTCCTCAGGTTTGCTCTGACAGGAGAGTCTTTGTTGGGCCTCAGAAGAACACTAAAAATCTGCTTCCCTGTCCATAGTTTCATGGGCTGTTAAAAATGATAAAGACTTATTTTCTGCTCCTTTTATAATATTACTAAAATGTATTAACATTTTTGTTATCTTTACAGATATAGCTGTTTATAAGCACAATTCAAGCCAATACATGTAATTCTAATCCATGAAGATTTAAAATATTGCTAATGTCATTCAAAGAGAAGATGAATTCTTCAACTATTTATTTAAAACCCCATTTCTTCCCCCCCCCCCCCCCAAAAAAATGACACAAATCAAAAGTTTACTTTGATAATGGCAGGAGGGGGAAGGTCAATCTTGAGGTTGGTTTCTCGGTTTGACAACATGGCTGATATCAACTGACAGGCCCTGGCTCTATCCACAAACACATCCTTCTGTGTGATGAGATAGCCACCTAAGAATGCAATGACAATTTTAACAATACTAGTATAATAATAGATTATGAATTTTGTATCTTATAGCACATTCAACAACCATACCCTATAGTGATACAAAATTGTTTAAATGAAGATGCTTCCATACTTGTGCTGATGATTGAGAGTGTTGACAACATGCACTGTTTTCACTGTGTTTACCAAGAGTTTGTGGTGAATAAACTTTTGCAACAATACAATATCATTGCATAACTTACCAGTGATGAAGTCTTGGATAGCAGCAATCAAAGGTTCTCCATTCCTTGGAGTAATGATATTTGATTTTGACTGAAAACAAAATCAATGCAGGTACAGGTATTATGCCCAGAAATGTCAACACTGACTTTTTCATCATTTCTTTAAAATATTCCACTTAATAGATTTGCAGATTTTTTTTTTCATTAACTGACCCCCATTAACGTGATTGCCTCTGCCTTGGCTTCCTCTGTCTGTGGTAAATGAAGATTCATTTCATCTCCATCAAAGTCAGCATTGAAAGGGTTACAACAACATTCATTGAACCGGAAAGTTCGGTGAGGCATAACTTTGGCCTGCAATGACATTAAATACCAAATCAGCAAAGATAAAGCTGTATTGAAGTGATCATGATTTTAATATGCTTTTTGATTTGCAAAGATACTGTTATTGTATATCATATGAAATCAATCAAAATATGGATTTGTACATAAACTCCATAATATAGAATACTCACATAGAATGCTTGAATACTGAGTTTATGAAGAGATGGCTGTCGGTTAAACAGGACAATGTCATTATCTATCAGGTGACGCTCAACAATGTCCCCAAACTTGAGCTCCTTGGCAATTTTCTCTCTGTTACCATACCTCAAATACCTGTGGTCAACAGAGATAACTTCATGTTATTAAAGGACCATTTTTAACAAAAGAATATAGTCATCTGACATTACGCTTTTGATAGGATTTTACAGAAGGTCAATATTACACATATCTAAGCTGTTTGTTTATGGAGCATTATTTTAATGTTAATACACCTATTAAAGTCCAAATACATGAACTCAAGACTTGAAAAACATTGATAACAAGAATCTGCAACATTTTTATATTTCATCAATCAACAAAACTGGCCCCAATCCATCAAAAGTTTACCAGTATGTACACTGCTTAGTAATTCCTATACATACATGTACTACCAGTTGTCAATGAAATCCATTTAAAAACTGTTGCTTACACGCATATGAAAAGTTTCAGTGCAAGTGTATACAAAAATGAGTTGCATATGAAACCAAAATGACATCATCAAATAAAATGGATTAATACAGTAAAACTCGTTTAGTATGAACACGGATATAGCGAATTCACAGATATAGCGAAGTTTTTCTGGGTCCCCGGTAAAATTCTTAACAAATCTTTGTAAAATTTTACGGTTATAACGAACTCTGATATAACTAATTTACGGATATAGCGAACCCATTTTGAGTCCCGATGAGGTTAAATATAATGAAATTTACATCTTTTATAACGAACTTTCAAAGATCTTAAAATTTGCTAAATTGAACTGACATTTGTATATACATTTCAATTCATAATAAAACCTTAGTTATCGACAGTATGTTTTGTAATATTTGCTTCCCTAACATATTTGGTAGTAATACTTGAAGGAAAACATTCATATTGCGAACTCGCTATAAATGTTTATACGAATTCGTTATACGGATATAACGAATTACGGATATAGCGAATTAAATTCACAGGTCCCCAGGACTTCGCTATAACTGAGTTTTACTGTATGTTCATTTTTTTTTTATTTTGTACCTTTTTATATTGTTATCCCTCTGTTGGATGAAGTTTGCCCCAGGATGAGTATCACAACCGTTCTTCACCAGTTTCCTCATCAGTTTGATGTTGGCTTTGGTGACCCGTTCAGGGTAGGTCAGGACTTTAGCAACATGTACAGGAACAGCGACCTAGGAGAAAGTCACAAACAATGTCAATAATGAAAGCTACGAACAGTGATGTAAACCTATTAAAGAATAGTCTTAAAAAAGCATTTTAGTGAAAAGTATTAATCTTTTTAGAGTCCATCTTCGCTAGCCATGGGTTTCTGATATGCTACTCTCCTCATGAACCCTTGGCATACGGTGTTGATAGAAATTGTTTTTTTTTCCTTGAGTTCTGATTGTTATTCAGTACACCTAGTCAACCAATCAGCAATTGTTTTTTGTAAATGACGATATTTGCGTTTGGGATACTTCTTGACTCTTTCATCTCGGAAATGAAAAATGCAAGTAACCAACGATCCGTAAGATAACATGCAATTCTATGAATAGCTTTGGTGTCATCCAATTTCTTCTAGATATGTAATTAAGAACCTTTATTGAAGCTTCCGATTTGTACTATAAATAATAAATTAACATAATTCAATAATTGCTTCTTAATTATTCTTGAAAAAAAAAACTTTAATTTTTTTGAAACAAGTGTCTTTATTTCTGTCGATGACGCAATCTATGCGTACCTGATAGATTCGAGATCACGTGACATAAAACAATCCCGTCTTTTGACTTCACCATATGCCAATGGTTCATGAGGAGAGAAGCGTATCAGAAACCCTTGGCTAGCGAAGATGTTGAGAGTCCTAAAAGATTACTTGTTTTGACATTTCTTGTACTTTACCTGGTCTATTCTCATGTTGGGGTCAGGGGAGATGACAGTTCTTCCTGAAAAATCAACTCTCTTTCCAGAAAGGTTACCTCTGAAACGACCTTGTTTACCTTTCAGTCTTTGCACAAAACCTCTGGTCATCTTCTTTGGCTGAAAAAAAAGAATCAGTGACATGTCTAGATTTGTAAATCTGTGTTTGTTTTACATTTACCAGTACATGTTCATTTATTTATTTATATTTCACCTTTAATGGCAGGATGTCAAATACACATTTGTTAAAACAAATAAAGGTATACAAGAGGGGATAAAAGAAATGTTTTACTGTTGTACTGATGGACTTTGACACTCTATGCCTCTTGTTTACAGCACTGAGATTAAATGTTTTTTTAATATTTCTCAATGCATTACTAAAACATGTACATGAAGTTCAAACAAAGTTTCCTTGTTGGCTTGTTTGAAGTTATCCCTTCATCCTTTGTGTCTTTAAAACAAGACTACATGAACTAAATCTATAATTTTTTATTGTGAAAATGATAAATGTCCTTTGGACCCAGTGAGGGCTTGTCCCAATACACAGTTAGATTATTCTATCTATACAAGAACAATTACCTGCATATGAAGGGGAATCCCCGAGGTCTCACTGTTGTACAGTAGCGCCACCTGTAGCTGGAGGTAATCCCAGTCTTCCTGTTACAAAACAGACACATCCAAAAATTTAGGTTCACAGTAAATACACTCCTTCAAAATATTTTTTTTTCTGAATGATGGAAAGAAACTGAAAAGTGATGTAAACTTTCCTCTCTTTTTTTTTTTCATGGGATGGAAACTCAACTTACCATAATCATTGATATTTTTGCTCCTGTGGCTTTGTGTTTCTGGATGACATCATTCAAAAACATGATCTCAGTCATCTTCATAGTGATGTCATCTTCATTACTGCCAAAGATTGAAAAAAAAAACAGGTACAAGTTGTATGTTTACTGATCTTTTGCTTATTCTAAAACACTTTTTCTGTTAGAAAAAAAGTTGTCTTTTTTAAAACAGAAAGACTACATATCAACCTTAGATCATTGATGAAATTTATCCCACATCCCACTTCAAACCCTTTTGATGAAAGCTTCTCTCCCCCCCCCCCACACACACACACACATTCCTGGTCTGAGATAAAAAGAGGAGGTGGATTCAGCTTTTGTTACTTGAGACCTGAGATTACTCTGTTACTTACATTCCTGCTTTGAGATATGAGACAACAGAGGGATGGATACAGATGGATGAGTACTTACGTTCCTGCTTTGAGATCTGAGACAACAGAGGGGCGGATGCAGATGGATGAGTACTTACGTTCCTGCTTTGAGATCTGAGACAACAGAGGGGTGGATACAGATGGATGAGATACTTATGTCCCTGCTTTGAGATCTGAGACAACAGAGGGGCGGATACAGATGGATGAGATACTTACGTTCCTGCTTTGAGATCTGAGACAACAGAGGGGCGGATACAGATGGGTGGAACTAGAATTCTGGTCAGAATCAGATCCTTAGGACTGCCTACTTCTGGATTCATCATCAAAAGAGGAATCTCCTACAAAGTTACAATTTATAAGACATGAAGAAATATCTATTGCATTAATTCTTAAAAAACAAAATTCCAAAAGACTATATGGACCAGCTCTAACATTGAGTAACATTTTCTTTTTTATGCAATGAATTGGTCAACAAAAGGAGGTAAAATTAGCAACTTTTCAAAGAACCTTCAACACGGCATGAAATTTATTTAGTAAGTGTGTCTAACTTCCTACCTCTTCAGGGATTAACTGAAAGAGTTTCTGAACTCTGATTGGATTCAAGACCTCCTGCAAAATAAGTACATTTATAATTTGTTAGGAAATTTCATTTAAATAAATATAATTGTGTAAAAGAGAAGATATTTTCATTATATACATGTAGTATTAATATACTTTAACATACAGTACTTTTCATTTTTTAAAGAAATGCTATCCTTTCTATAGTAAAATGTTGATCATACTAAGCTGGACTAAGCTGAATTCTTAAATATAAGTATTGGATTGCAGTACATGTACTAATCATAAAATATGCTTAAAATCATATTCGTTTAGGATTTTTTATTGAAACTATTGAAAACATGCTTGAAATCAAATTCGTACAGGATTTTTAATTGAAACTAATTAATTAGCTTCTCTGTATATCAGACAGACCTGTGTTTTACTAAGTAATGGTTCTAAGTCTTTATTGTTTTCCAGGGCTGACTCAAATGACCCCATGAATTCCTCAATGACTGGGTCAGTGCCTTTTCTTTGTTTGTATTTGTCATGGATGATTTTCAACAAACCACACTTCTTCACCATACCTATTAATCAAAACAAAGAAGAATAACTTTAAAAAATGTAGGTATAAGTGTGCAACTGGAAAAGTCTAAATTGTAGTAGTAATGAAGACAAAAAAAAACCCTGAAATTTTAAAAAAAAATTGATTGTCTTCTTTGAGAATTGCTACCTCCTATTAAACCAGCTAGTATTTACTCAAATGTCTACTCTTCCCTTGTATCCTCTCTGTTTTTGTTTAAATATTGTGTTGTTGATCAACCATATTCATACCATTAAATGCACCACAAGAAGCACACACTGCCATCTTCCTACATTTGTCGTATATTTTTTTCTTCAGCACTTTTCTTTGTAGGTATGTCAGAGGTTTCTTGGTGTTTTCCAGAAATGATTTTTTCTGATCAGGACTCAAAAGAACTTCACTGCAAGTCTGCAAAAGACAGGAAAAAATCTGATTCATAATTGTATTATATATTATGTATCAATTTGGAATTTTATGAGATGTTACACCTCAGTTTTGCATTGTTTTTTAAATCATCTTCTCAAGCCTACACATCCTTTTATAAGGGATAAGATACATATGAACATTGTGCTTTCATTTCTGGTCAATTGTTATAATCATTTAGGAGCTTGCACATGAAAAGATACCTTGCAAATCATCTGGAGAAGTTGAATGGTAGCTCTGAAATATCCAATGTGAAAACATGGCAGTTCTAAATCAATGTATCCATAGTGACCAGTGCAGTCAGCCAATCCCTTCCCACAAGTCTCACAGGCACTGTCCTTGTCACTGGTTCCCTTGAATAGAAAATACACAATTATACAAATATAACAGTACTGTTACATAAATTTTATTTTGATTCTAAAGAGCAATGTACCTTGAGTAAGAGTAAATAAATTCAAGTCTTCATTTCATCAAATTCATTCCAAATATTAATTTTAAAGTTATCATTAAATTCGAACTGAAACAAAAAAATTGTGTGGTATTTCACTTTAAACATCAAGCATGGCATTAGCCATATAATAAATAATTTTAAGAAAAGTCATTCAAAAATGAAAAGGTAAGTTTATTCATGGCCAATACTTATAAACTATGCATTTACATATAACTAGACCTTAAGAAAGATAAACAGTAACTTACCATTTTGTGGTCGAGCGCCCCGTAGGGAACAGGCTTGCGTCCCCCATCCTGACTGTACAGATTCTTACTGACCACGTGAAGGTGGGACAGCTGCTGCATCTGATGGGAGTTAAGCAATCCAAATGTGACAT